TGCTTGTTAAAAATACACATTTCCCTTCTCACTGATGTGTGGGAGCGAAGCAGTGAGGATGCAAAGGCGTAAGAATGGTACAATGGACTCTAAGGACTTGGGGTAAAATGTTGGGGAGGAGAAGGATAAAAGACTATAAATATGGTAGAGTGTACACTGCTCCCGTGATGAGGGCACCAGGATCTCACGAATCACCATAAAGAACTTACTCATGTAACCACACACTACCTGTATGTACCCCAATAACTTAGAGAAAAGTAAAATTAAATAATTTTTAAAAAGAAGAAACAAAAATACACATTTCTGGGTTCTACTTCAGAAGCACTAAACCAAAATCTTTAGAAACTGAGCCTGATACTCTGCATTTTAACAGGACCCCCAGGCAATTAACAGAATCGAGCTTATTGAGGAAACTCAGCTGTGGGCCCTCGCAGTGCTTTGCAAGCGCAAACCACCCTTGCCATGCTGACTTCGCTGAGGAAGCCCTTGTCCCCCACAAGAACTCAGAGACCTGCCGACGCCCTTGAGAGGGAGGAGGGCACTCAGGAGAAACACACCTCAGAGGTGGGAGACCTGGCTCTGCCACAATTTGCTGCAGAACCTTGGGTTCATAATTAACATCCTTGAGTCTCTGCTTCCTTCTTTATGGGACAGAGCCAGCGTTTCCTACACTTGCTGACTCACTTCATTAATGGAGCCTCAAGGAGTTGTTGAACATTATAGCATATTTTAAAAGTATACAACTCTCAGTGGTCTGCTGAAGCCAGCTTATCATGGCCAGTGACAGCTGATTGACAAAATGTTAGAAACTTTTTGAGTCAGTTATTAAAGCTTTGGTGGTAGCTTAAAATGGGCCATGGCGGGAACATTTACACCACAGAAATTGGCAAATATTACAAATTAGGGCTTTTTTTAAAGCGACGGAACCTATTGTTAGCCATTTACCAGCATCCAGGAGGGTCAGACTCTTTTACATCACAGGACATTCTGCAAGTGGCAGGCCTGAGAAAGTGAGTTACCGCATTCCTTCCCCTTGCTGTTTGGTCATGGCAGCGGCAGGACTCAAGGCTCAACCCCTCCTCCAAGGTGCCCATAGCTACCACTGACAGCGAGGCCCTTGTAGACATACTGGACTGGAAGCCCAGCAGAGTCTAAAGCCCTGAGGAGAGTCAGAGGCCTGGAGAAACACCAGCTGCTACTTGACCTGCTCTTGTATCAACCAAGGAGGGAATTCAAGACTTGCATCAGATGAGGGGAACTAGGTTGTTGTAGCCTCCCGAGGAGTGGGTAGATCTTAATTTGACCTTATTCAATTTTTCCCTTTTGAGAAAGAAGCCACCTTTGTCATACATCATGATGTCAAGGCCAAGTCCTGCACAGTTTACCTTCGTCTCAGAACTCACAGCTGACTGTAATCTGCTCTTTGAGAAATACAAATGTTACCACTCTACAACAAGATGCACACGAGGCAGATTATTCGGGGAGTGCTGGCCCGAAGGAGCAGGGCACACACAGGAGGAGCATCAGGAAGCCTTGCCCCATCCCCTCTAGCCCAGCATCTGTCCTTCCTTTCCTTAATCCCAGGCTGTGAGGTACACAAGGGTTAAGGAGGCTCCAGGTTTCTTGGAAACTGATAAGACAAAAAATGTTGAGCCAAAGGTAGATCCAGCTATATACCTTAGATCACTAAGCCTGGCCAGGATTGGAAGGGAAGGAGGCCTTCCCCTCTTAGGGGAAAGAAGGCCTTCATGACCGATGAGGCAGTCAGTTAACAGTTCCTTATTACTTTCTTTGTACAGAGATCTATTCAGAATATCAAGGTTATAAGATGATTTGATCCTCAAGTAACTTAAATCATATGGGGCTCTCTCCAGCCATGAGGCAAATTCAATCATGGAGCAAGACAGCTGCGTGCAGGAAGGCACACTGTAACTGATTTGCATAGAAATGCTAAGAATTCATAGTTAGTTAGTGGTCTCTGTAAGATGGAAAGGACTGGGAAGGTTGCTAGAGAGTTCGCCTGAGATTAAGGGAGGGCAAGACTGAGTTGCCCAGGGAGGGAGAAGGAATGATTAATTGAACAAAGACACCAGTCTCTGACTATTGAAGAGTGCTCATCACCAGGCCAGTTTGGCTGGAGCTATGAGTGAGTGTCAGGGACCAGTGGGAGTTAAGTTGAGGTCATGTTGGAGAAGGCTGAGCTTGGTTTATGGGTGAAAGAGGAGCCATGAAAAGTGTATTCATTTTCTATTGCTGTGGAACACATTATCACATATTTAGAAGCTTGAACTGTACCCATTTTTACCCTGAAGAGTCTGTAGGTCAGAACCCTGTGCACAGTGTAGGTATGTTCTCGTCTCAGGATCTCACAGAGCTGAAATCAAGGTGTAGACTGGATTGTGTTTTCATCCAGAGTTTGGGATCCTTTTCCACACTCATTCAGGTTGTTAGGAGTATTCAGTTCCTTGCAGTTGCAGGACTGAGGCCCCTACTTTCTAGCTGGCTGTCAACCAATGCAATTCTCAGCTCCTGTAAGTCTTTTGCCATCTCCTAAAAAATGTCCCTCTCCAAAACATGGCAGTTTGCTCCTTCAAGGCCAAGAGAATAATTTCTCAGTCCCCTTTAAGAGCTCACCTAATTAGGTCAGGCCCAGTCAAGATAATCTCCCGTTGATTAGCTCAGCCACAACTGATCAGTAATCAAGTCACAGTAGTGATATTACATTATAGTCACAGATTCAGCCTACACTCAATGGAAGGGATTATACAAGGCAGAAATCTTGAGGCTATTCTAGAGTCCTGTCTATCTCAGATCATTTTCAGCTGGTGAGATGGGGAGACATGATGAAATTTGTTTTATTATTATTTTATTTATTTATTTATTTTTTTAGATGGAGTTTCGATGTTGTTACCCAGGCTGGAGTGCAATGGCGTGATCTCGGCTCACCGCAACCTCCGCCTCCTGGGTTCAAGCAATTCTCCTGCCTCAGCCTCCCGAGTAGCTGGGATTACAGGCACGCACCACCATGCCCAGCTAATTTTTGTATTTTTAGTAGAGACGGGGTTTCACCATGTTGACCAGGATGGTCTCGATCTCTTGACCTCATGATCCACCCGCCTCGGCCTCCCGAAGTGCTGGAATTATAGGCGTGAGCCACCGCGCCTGGCCTGAAATTTATTTTTGAAACCTCGCAGCAGGAGCTCAGTGAGGAGACTATAGCCGTTACAGAAATCAGGTAGCAGGAAAGGGATAGGTGGATAAACAAATAGGGAAGATACAGAATGGATAAATTTACAGGACCTGGAATGTTCCTCCCCCGTCTGACCTCACGGCTGGCCCGCTCTCGTACCACTCACTTCCCTGCCCACTCTGTGTTAGTTTTACCTCCTCCCTGATTCTCTAACACATCATCCAGCTTATTTCTTTCATGATACTCTTCATTTTATATTAATATGTTTGTTTCCTTTTTTATTGTCCATTCACTCCACTCGATTCTAAGCTCAAAGAGAACAGGGACAATGTGTCTTTTGCACACCTCTGAATATCTAGAATTGGGCCTGGTATATAGTTGAGACTCAATAAATATTGAATAAAGGTTAAATAAATAAGTGAGCAAATTATATGAAAGGATCCAGGGAGAGTCAAAAGGTCTGATTATTGGGTCTGGATGTCTTGAAGGAAGGCGTAACATGGAATCAGATTAAGAGTTTTGAGGAGTTGGGGAGATCTGTTGTAGACATCTTGAGTTTGAGATGACTGTTGTCCAGTTAAGACCTACAGGCAGCTGGAAGTGCATGTGAGGAACTGTCACCAAAAAGCCATAACCATGTCCAGTCATAGTAAGGAACTGGGCTTTGATCATGAAAAAAAATGAAAACTGGATTTTTTTTTTTTTTTTTTTTTTGAGACAGAGTTTCACTGTTGTTACCCAGGCTGGAGTGCAATGGCATGATCTTGGCTCACGGCAACCTCCGCCTCCTGGGTTCAAGCAATTCTCCTGCCTCATCCTCCCGAGTAGCTGGGATTACAGGCACGCACCACCGTGCCCAGCTAATTTTTGTATTTTTAGTGGAGACGGGGTTTTTCACCATGTTGACCAGGATGGTCTCAGTCTCTTGACCTCGTGATCTACCCGCCTCGGCCTCCCAAAGTGCTGGGATTACAGGTGTGAGCCACTGCACCTGGCAAAAACTGGATTTTAAAATAAGCCTCCATTGGACATTTCTCATTTATATTTTTTGAAACATCTACTGCTTAGAGGAGCTGTCACCATGAAGGTTATAATTTGTATTAGGACACAGCAGAGGGTAAACATCCTCTTTAGTTACTGTTCTATCATTGTCTGAAAACCTGCAGGAGACGGTGAAAGCACACAGACCAGCACCCATAGTGTTGAGAGTGAAGGGTGTGTGACGGTAGGGCCGGTTATGCCGGGCGATCAGGCAGAACCGGGAAAAAAGCTCTCCAGCAACGCAGCGGCGCTGTGTTAATCTTTTTATTTTTCTCTTTCTCTGTTCATCTCCCTCAGTAAGTTCTTCATTTATCTTTCTGCTTTTCTCTCTTCCTCTAGCTAAATTATATTTCTCATGCCTTATGTATCAACCTGATTATTTCTCTACCAACTTCTTTCATCTGGTCTTTTGAAAAGTTCCCCTCACTAGACTTGGTGGCTCATGCCTGTAATCCCAACACTTTGGCCAGAGAGTCGCTTCAGCCCAAGAGTTTGAGACTAGCCCGGGCAACAAAGTAAGACCCTATCTCTACAAATAAAATAAAATAAAATAAAATAATTAGCCAGGCGTGGTGGCACAGGCATATAATCCTAGATACTTGGGAAGCTGAGGTAGGAGGCTCTGACCCTAGGAGTTGAGTTGCAGTGAACAGTGATCACACCACTGCACTTCGGCCTGGGTAACAGAGACCCTGTCTCAAAAAAACAGAAAAGAGAAGTACCCCATTCCATCTCACCATACCTATCCCCTGTCCCCTTGCTTTTTCAGGTATACTGCCGTGGTCATGCCTGTTCACTACCAGCATGGCACGGGACAGAGCTCCTGTCGGCGCGTGGCCCTCATGATCACAGCCGTCTGGGTACTGGCCTTTGCTGTGTCCTGCCCTCTCCTATTTGGCTTCAATACCACAGGTAATGATGATGGCTTCACTTCTAGCATCCATATGATTCACAGCACACCTGAATGTCTGGCTGTGAGTTGTGCTCAGCCCTGAAATTTCTGACCCCGGGTCAGCATACTTTGCAATTAAAGGAGAATGCCAGAGAACGCAAAGCTTTGGCCTTTGTTGGTTATAAATAAAATATAAACAAAACCTCATCAATTATTGGCACAGGGAGTAAAGTTCTGCCCCAATTAATGAAAAGTCTGGCTCATCTTTATTTCAAAAAAATGTCATTGTATTCATTTGCAGAAATGTACCAGTTGAAAAAACCAAGGTACATATTAATAATTAAGGCAAATTCTGCTAATGAAAAGATAACAATTCATAACAGACCTATAATGCAAAATAACACATTATAAAAGTCTTAGAGTAGGATATATATATCTAACTTTTTACTCAATAAGAATAATTTCTGATACTTTAGAACTAATCAGTATAGATTTGCAAATTGCTGGAGTGTGTATTTTCTATTTTTAATATAAAAATTCTGGATATGATGGTTGGCACATGGTACATCTACAGGATGGATGGATGGATGGATGAATAGATGGATAATGTATATATCTGAAATGCTCAGAATTTTAAGCATAGGACACCAATATCTCAGATGAATCAGTGCCTTCTATATTTGTACCATGTCCATCTTTTAGCCTCAGTATTTTTTTTTTTCTTTTTTTCTTTTCTTTGAGACCGAGTCTCGTTCTGTTGACCAGACTGAAGTGCAATGGCATGATCTCAGCTCATTGCAACCTCCACCTCCCAGGTTCAAGCGATTCTCCTGCCTCAGCCTCCCTGGTAGCTTGGATTATAGGGATCTGCCACCACCTCCAACTAATTTTTGTATTTTTGATAGAGACAGGGTTTCATCACGTTGGCCAGGCTGGTCTCAAACTCCTTATCTCAAGTGATCGGCCCTCCGCAGCCTCCCAAAGTGCTGGATTACAAGTGTGAGCCGCTGCATTCAGTCAGCCTCAGTAATTTCATGTGTCAAATGAAAGATATTAACACACATAGTAATGTGATGGGTATTGACAATATACACTGAGTGCTAAGAGAAAACTGCTTGATTAGTGTTCCAGTGGTCCTCTGGATTTCTTAATTTGTCCATTTGAATTGATTTCATTCAATACCTATATTCCAGGTTTGTAAATTTCTAGTATATATGTACTAGTCAACATAGTCACATGCTTGTGTGTATGCAGATATTATGTCTAACATATTATGTATAAATACAGGCAAATCCTAATTTTAAGTAATCTTCCAAGTGTCATTTGCTGGACAATGACTCAGAAGTCAAAATATATTTGGGAAGATAGGTATAGGCTTTGGAGTCAGTAAAATCTAAGTCCAAACTCTAAACCAAAGTCCAGATTTACTAGCTGTCTGTCCTAAACAAGTTACTTAACTTCTCTGAGTTCAGTTTCCTCATTGACAAATGCAGGATAAAATTACAGTGGAGCATATACTTGTATGTACTAGTATATATGTACTAGTCACATAGTCACATGCTTGTGTGTATGCAGATATTATGTGGACAAATTATGTGGACACAATCTACATATTTAGTTAAGACATTTTTAATATTTATTTTTATATTTGATCATCTACAAATAAGCCCAGCAACTTTATCTCTAAAATTATATTCCATAGGAACCCTACACTATATGACATATTACTACATGTATCATACAACTTATTACTCTTCAGGGTTGTAATAAAACATGCATATCTTTATATGTGATTCAGATTTTCAAAGCAAATTTGGAGTCTATAAAATTTTCACTTTATTTATTGACTTTAGAATGTAAGCCTACATATAACTCCACTCTACCTTCTTCATAGAGATTTTTTGCAATTAAATGAGGATTAAATTGGGATAACATATGTGAATATGCTAAGCACTTACTGCCTACTCAAGGCCAGCTTGTCTCTCTGCCACAGCAAAGGGTAACTATTCAACTTACCAACAAATATTTGCCTGGTTAACCAAGGCTGTTCCCAAAATATGGTGTTGTTATCTTTGCATTACTGTTTACCATTCATTACTTTGTTATTTTAACTGAATGACCCTTTATACATGCAAACACGTGTGCACACGGGCACACTGCGCAGCACAAAGCAACATCCCTTAACATGGCTACAGAGGCTGACTCTGTGGCACTAAAATACCATTTCTCGTAAGTGCTAAATGTGCTTTATAGGTTAGTCTGATAGCTAAGTCGCCTTCTGTAAGTTTGTTTCTATATGAAAATGCATTCTTAGAATTTCTAGTGTGGGGAACTCACCACTGCTAGACCAGGCACTGTTTACCCCCTAGCCAACAGCAAATCCCCGCCAACATCTGCTGGGCTGGCTGTGGTTCCCCCACCTCACTCTTGGTGGAGGCGGTCTTATTCACTCTCACAGACACACCACACTGGAAACAGTTGAAACAGTCTCAAATCTGACATTAGATCAAGTTCTCAGTGAATGTCGACATCCAGAGTGACATTCTGGATGTCACTCATTCCCCTGTTGTTGCCACCAGTGAGAACATTATTGTTCCAGAAACAAAATTCAGGAAAATTTTTTTCAAAAGGATTTTCAAATATAGGATTGAGAAGGCAGAAAAGGCCTGTGACTTAGCATGTGCACTTTCACTTCTCTCTCGTCTCTTACAGTCTCTCTCTCTCTTTTACTTTTAAGTTTATTAATAGCACTCTAGCAAGCCCTCCAATTATTCATATTTTGTGTCAAAGTGTCAGGTTCCATTGTGAGAGCTCAGAAGATATTAGCTGGTGCTATAGTTGTTATTATTTATTGGAAAAGTTTATACATCAAACTTTATGCATCTGCAGCTGTAAGAGTTTTGCTGATAGTCTTAGAGATCAGTCGCCTCTTCCTAGAACAGTTAGGGGACTTAGTAAGCGAAACTCAGGCCCAGCTGTCCTCCTCTGCCTCAAGCTGACCTTCACTGTACAGCTTCATTATCTTGATAGATGTGGGTTCCTGCAGCAACTCTCTCATCTGTAAAGAAGTTCCCAAGTTCATTTGAAAGCCCAATATAAAGGAATCCTCCCAGTTATTTTTTCTACTCCTTCTGTGGAAAATCAAGGGGGAGAGAGCAGGATCCTGCCAATAACACCTGATATTGGAAGCAGCTGGACTTTCACTAATAAGTGCAACACAAAGAAAGAAATTTCTGGCAGAGCTCTCCTTTTAATATCACGGGCTGCCACATGCAATTGTGAATTAAGAGAACGTAAGATACAGAAAAGTTGAACTTCAGTTTCTTCCAACTTGGAGTTGCTCCTGTCCTCAGATGAAAGGTCAATATGAGGCAGGGTCTTGGGTCAGAGAGTTCCTGGCCAGGATTGTCTTAACTTCCAGCAGAGGCCCAGCAGTCTAGGCAAATATCACATCGTCAGCAGAGCATGTGCTGGTGCTAAAGGAAACTCTGAAGATCCCTGAATGAGCAGCCCAATCTTTTCATTGCATAGGTAAGAAAAATAACTAGCATTTAAATTCCTGCTAAATCAGAAAGTGATTGTGTTATTTTAAAAAATCTAGATTGAATAAGCAAAAAATGAATAAGCTGGTGATAAGGGTTCAAGAAACCTTTAAGGGAGGAGAAACTTAAAGTTAAGAAAACTCTATCAGCTGGCTTGATTTTCCTTTGAAAGAAGGATAGAGGAGGGCTATTTATTTGATTTCATCAATAGAACATCTCACCTAGTTTTCAGTGCACTGGAGCTAGGTTGGGGGAGGGCGAGCTTGGTTGCACAGAAAGTTGAAAGAATAATAGAAGCACAAAGTTGAAAGAATAATAGGCTCATCCTAAAATGAAATTCATTGGCACCACATGTCTTTGGAATCAAGTTGGGGTCAAATCTGTCAGTGAGTTTGAAGTTCATGAATCTTTCAAGTAAACCTGCTCTGAGCCAAGCTGTTCACATCATTGTGGGGCTCAGTTTCCCAAGACAGCCCGGAAAAGTCTCTTAGATGTGTTATCTTTTTCAGCCAGCACAGTGCTTTACACATAGTAGGTACTCTATAAAGGTTTGTTGAATGAGTGAATAGATGACTCTTCATCATCATCCTTTCTTCCTGAAATGTTGACATTAGTCGGGAGAAGCATCTCTAATCGCAGAGGAGCAGTAACCTCCCCTCCCCCGGTACAGGCCTTCTCCATTATACTCTGGTCAGCGAGTGAGCATGTGTTTATATAAAATGCTCATGTGTACATTTTGCTCATTTTCATTTATTATTTTTGCATTTGCTCAGTAACTATTGTGCTAACCAAACAACACTCTTGCAGTTAAATCATCAAAGCAAGGCACCTCATCTTCTGGAGAAGTGTCAGCTTCTGAGGGGGGCCTTACTGTCTTCCTCACCAATTTGGTACTCAGCAGAGATTTCAGAACTGCTGCTGTGTGGTGCGTCACTCTGCCCTGCCAACAGGACACACACACCCAGGGCCAGGCCTGCTGGGGGCTAGGGCAGGCCCCACTCATTGGTCACCCACTCCCAGTGTCACTCTGCCTGCAATGGGGACATTCTGGAAGAGGCTGCAACGCTTGATCTAAGGAAGGAAAGCAGTTTACTTAGGGGAGGAAGGAAGGGATGGCAGTGCAGATTCTGTGATTATATGTGAAAGCCTTCAGTGACTAGGAACCCTGAAATAGCTATATGCTCTCTCAACTCTCTCTTTCAGTATTTTTAATGGAGAAATAAATGCTTGCACATAAAACAGTCACAAGGTATCATGAGATACATACATACTTATATGTAAGTCTCCCTTCTACCCCAGATTACTAAATTCTCCCATCACCCCCAGAAACAAACATTAATATTATTGCAAGATAATGCTTGCAACAAGTGTTGTTGCATATATGTGTATGTACGTGTTGTTGCATATATGTGTATACATATATGTGTATGTATGTGTATGTGTATTCATTTTTACACAAAGAGAAGCATATCATACCCCCTTCTGACCCTCACTTTTAAAAGAGGTAGCTCATATATAAAATTTAGAGGTCAGCCTCCCAGAACCCAGAGGGGTAGGAAAAGGTAGAAAATTAGGTAAAAGGACTAACAGGGTATACCCGGGACACCAAGGATGGCAACGAGATGGGGAGTGCCACCCCGCTGGCCTCTTCTCACACACAAGACATGGGAGACGCCTCCTGATCATGGGCAGGATTTAGAACCATAGTCAGACACTGACAACGGAACTGACTTCAGAGAAGGGGCAGATCACCGCCAACAATGGCTCCCTAGAGATTCCGAAAGGCACCCTCTGCCACTCATCCCTCTCCCTAACTCCATCACCCCCGAATACCAGAAGATGACAATTTGGTGAACTATGCCGAGCCTTATGAGCCATTTCCTAAGAGATAATGACACAGGCTTCGGTGAGACAACATGAAATTTACCTGACTTTTACCCCACTTCAGAGAATCAGGGAATTTAGGAGTAGCTTGTAAAGATTCTAGTGGCAAAGTTGTCATTAAAATGCATCACTGACCACTTTTTTCATTTTAGTTATTAGCTATTATTCTCTTCCTTCTCTCACAAATATTGTTTTCTGTAAGTTTCTCTCCAAATGATACCTTCCTTTTTCAGGTCAGAAAGCTCACGGGAGAGAAATAATAAATGGTAATCATAAATAAATATTAATAATAGCTACCATTTATTCTCATTATTTCTCACAACTACTATATAATACTTCTAACCTTTTTCTTACAGGTAATAAAACTGAGGCTTCACGTATTTAAGAAATGTGCCCAAGATCACACAGTTAATAAATAGTAGACCTGAATGTCACACTTAGGGCTGTCTGCCTTCCACCTCCCTCAGAAGACCAAGAAGCAGGATAAGGGGCTTACATGGTCACTGACCTCTCCCCACCAGCCCACACCTGAGGCTTCATCATCCAAGGCCAGATTTGGGGTTGGAGAATCCCCAGCGCTTTATGAAGATTGGCCAGGTGTACCAACAGTTGTTGCTGAGAGTGCTGGATGAAGCACAAATGTTCCACGTCACAGTAGTAAAGGGGGATGGAAGTTAAAATTACAGAAAGAACATTGGCTTGGGGATAAAACTGGGGGCAGGAACAATTTTAAGGTGCAGCCTTGGGCTACTTACTGAACCTCTCTGAGCTTTAGTCTGCTCATCTGAGAAGAGAGACAGTAATGGCACCTGCCTCATATAACGTTGCCATAATTATTAGGTAGGATAAGGTGTACCAAACTCTTGGCTCATCACCTGGCAGATACTGGTTTGCTTTTCTTTTCTTTTTCAAGACGGGGCAAATTTCAGGCCCTATCTTGGGCCTTGGAGGAATCTCAAAATCTGCCATGAAGAAGGCAAAGCTACAGGGACCTCCCAAGGAGAAGTGGCAGGAACATTTCAGGACATGAAGCACATTCTAAGCACTTCTAAATGCACATTCTCCATGTCACAATATCATTACCCGCATTTTTCCCATCCTGCCTCTGGCCAGTGCTGGGATTCTCTCAAAAATCAAATCCCTGTCTTATATTCAGCCACCACCTGCCCTCCATTCCAGATTCAGAATTGGAAAACTGGCATTCTCAGCAAACAAGCCTTCTTCCTTTCATTGCATTCCAACAATTCTCAAATGCCTCCATACCAGCAGGCCCTTTTCTGGGTGCTGTATCCCATCTGGGAGCCTCTGCCCTGTTGCCCTATAATGCTCTCTCCAGCCTCCCAGGTTGCATGCATCTGTGTGACATTTACGACATCCTATGAAAGGGATCATCTGTCTATCTAGACTGTTTGCTCCCTTGAGAGCAGACATGGTGTCTCATTCATCTTTGCAGCCTCCAGTGTCTGGTATATGATTGTTGGTAAATTTTCTTATATGATTTTCTTTCTTTCCTTCCTTCCTTCCTTCCTTCCTTCCTTCCTTCCTTCCTTCCTTCCTTCCTTCCTTCCTTCCTTCCTTCCTTTTCTTTCTTTCTTTTTTGAGATGAAGTTTCTCTCTGTAGCCCAGGCTGGAGTCCAGTGGCATGATCTCAGCTCACTGCAACCTCTATCTTCTGAAGTGATTCTCCTGCCTCAGTCTCTCAAGTATCTGGGACCACAGGCATGTGCCACCAAGCCCGGCTAATTTTTGTATTTTTTTTTCTTATTTTTTTATTGCATTTTAGGTTTTGGGGTACATGTGCAGAGGATGCAATACAGTTGCATAGGTACACACGTGGCAGTGTGTTCTGTTTGCTTTCACCCCTTCACCCACATTTGGCGTTTCTCCCCAGGCTACCCCTCCCCACCTCCCCCTCCCACTGGCCCTCCCCTTCCCCCCCAATAGACCCCAGTGTTTAGTACTCCCCTTTCTGTGTCCATGTGTTCTAATTTTTCATCACCCGCCTATGAGTGAGAATATGCGGTGTTTCATTTTCTGTTCTTGTGTCAGTTTGCTGAGAATGATGTTCTCCAGATTCATCCATGTCCCTACAAACGACACGAACTCATCATTTCTGATTGCTGCATAATATTCCATGGTGTATATGTGCCACATTTTCCCAATCCAGTCTATCATCAATGGGCATTTGGGTTGATTCCAGGTCTTTGCTATTGTAAACAGTTTGTATTTTTAATAGAGACGGGGTTTCACCATGTTGGCCAGGATGGTCTCAACCTCCTGACCACATGATCCACCCACCTCGGCCTCCCAAAGTGCTGGCATTACAGGCATGAGCCACGACACCTGGCCGGTCTGTTATTTTTTTTAAGGTGTAATAAGACAAGGACTTAAAAAAAATGCCCTGTAAAATGTATGCTTTTTAAGAAATAACGGAAGTCACTTTTATTCCAACATGCTATTTTTATTAAAATGTTTTCTTTTTAAGCAAACTCTGAGAATCGCAAAGGTGAATTAGACCTTCTACCCTCAGGGACCTGACAGTGTAGGTGTCTGAGACTGCATCCTCCCCACCCCCTGTGCATCAGAAGGTGCATGCACCACACATGACATGGGGCCATGTTTTATGCTCCCTACTGAGTTCTGATACTTGCTAACTGCTTTGTCTTCCCTCTTCTCATCCACAGGTGACCCCACTGTCTGCTCCATTTCCAACCCAGATTTTGTCATCTACTCTTCATTGGTGTCCTTCTACCTGCCCTTTGGAGTTACTGTGCTTGTCTATGCCAGAATCTATGTGGTGTTGAAACAAAGGAGACGGAAACGGATCCTCACTCGACAGAACAGTCAGTGCATCAGTGTCAGGCCTGGCTTCCCCCAACAAGTAAGCACCCTGCATGGGGTAGAGGGAAGACAACACCCAATCTGCTGACCTTCCAGCCTTGTGTCCGGCAGTGCACGATTTTGCCATTTAGCTACATTAGAGACACAAATCTGACATCTACTTTGGAATCTGCTAATACTGGCTGTGCTTTGAAGGTAGGAAATCCAATCTCAAAAGAACATTGACAGTTGTCTCTAGAGCCTACCTTACCTGGCAAGGTGATCGGATAGCTCCTGGGCTTGTTCTGCTTCCCTTCAAAGTGTTTCATTTTCCCCAAATGGGGAACAGTTCAGATGTCCCACAGGGTTTGAAGTTTAAGTGCAGCGGCTGGTATCTTGCACTACTGGTGGGTTCCCAGAACTGACTGTCCAAACCACTCATCCCAAGAATCACTGGGGCCCGTCACAGCCTTTTTTCCTTACTGGATCTGCCCCTGAGCCAAGGAACTAACCAGCTGGTGGGATAGGATGCTAATAAAACATTTTTTTTTTTTTTTTTTGAGATGGAGTTTCGCTCTTGTTACCCAGGCTGGAGTGCAATGGCGCAATCTCGGCTCACTGCAACCTCCGCCTCCTGGGTTCAGGCAATTCTCCTGCCTCAGCCTCCTGAGTAGCTGGGATTACAGGCATGCGCCACCATGCCCAGCTAATTTTTTGTATTTTTAGTAGAGACGGGGTTTCACCATATTGACCAGGATGGTCTCGATCTCTTGACCTTGTGATCCACCCGCCTCAGCCTCCCAAAGTGCTGGGATTACAGGCGTGAGCCACTGCGCAAGGCACTAATAAAACATTTTATTGAATCTTTCTAGGCTCTGAAAAGAAATGTCATTGCCTCTGCAATAATCTTCCAATTGCTAGGGCTTTAAATTCCACTTACCCTAGTGCCTGGCACATAGTAGTTGTCCATGATATACTTGAAGCATGAATTAATATATACTGATCACTTGAAATCTACTAGGGAAGGGACAGTGGTTAACATTAAACAGCCTCTGCCTTCATAAAGCTTAGAATCTAGACAAGCAAATAAAGCACCCCTTCCCTAAAAGTTAATGAACAGCCAAGAGCTGAATGGGATGTTTGCCAAATGTGAGGTGAAGACAATTAAGCCCTCAGTCATGAAGTGCTATGGAGGTTATAGCAGAGAAAAACCAATATGCTCAGTGATACGGTTTGGCTGTGTCCCCACCCAAATCTCATCTTGAATTGTAGCTCCCACAATTCCCACATGTTATGGGAGGGACCCACTGGGAGGTAATTGAATGATGGGGGTGTGTCTTTCCTGTGCTGGTCTCATGACAGTGAATAAGTCTCATGAGGTCTGATAATTTTATGAGGGAGAGTTTCCCTGCACAAATTTTCTCTTGTCTGCTGCCATGTAAGACATGCCTTTCACCTTCCACTATGATTGTGAGGCCTCCCCAGCCACGTGGAACTGTGAATCCATTAAACCTCTTTTTCTTTATAAATTACCCAGTCTCAGGCATGTCTTTTATAAGCAGCATGAAAACGGACTAATACACTCAGAAAAGGGCTCCACAGACAGAGTAAGGATTGAGTTTCATCTTGAAGGCAGATCCAATTTGAGTGTCTAGGTTAATATTTGATGACCTAGAATCTTTCTTTCTATTTTTTTGAGACAGAATCTCACTCTGTCACTCAGACTGGAGTACAGTGATACAATCTCAGCTCACTGCAGCTTCTGCCTCCTGGGTTCTAGAGATTGTCATGCCTCAGCCTCCTGAGTAGCTGGGAGTACAGGTGCCCACCAACACACCCAGTGAATTTTTGTTAGAGATGGGGTTTTGACACATTGGCTAGGCTGGTGTCTAACTCCTGGTCTCAAATGATCTGCCCACCTCAACCTCTCAAACTGCTGGGATTACAGGTTTAAGCCACCATGCCTTGACTGATGACACAGATAATCTTTGATGACCTCTTAAGGTCTTTGATGATGTCAAAAGTAGGAATGAAGGTCAGACTCTTAAGGTGAAGTCCCAAGGCTTGAGTAAAACAAGACTATTATCCTCATGAAAGAGGATATCAAGACCCAAGGCTGAGGATATGAAAACATTACATTCAAATATGATTGTGTCACATGGCTACATATGGCATGGCTTGACCCACAACTGGCTGTTCCTCCTTCAACCCACCCTAGTCTTCTTGTCTGCAGCTGCACCCCATTGAGCAGTTTTCAGTCAGGGCCCGATTTCCATCAGATGCCACAGGAAAAATGGTAAATGGGCCATGTCTTTGATCACAGAAAAAGAATAAGAGAACTTTTCCCACAATACTGGCTTATCTTGACTCTACTCTCACCCCAAAAGGAAATCTTGCCTTGATTCTCACACATATATCTTTAAGATAAGGTCTGAAATTCTGCCTAATTTAAGCTGCAGACTAGAATTCATCAGATGATATTCAGAAAGCATGTGACTATTGGGCTTGATCTTAGTGACTGGAGCCAATGACTCTTCTACAATGCCATCCAAGGCCACCTGCATTCGAGGAAACAGATGTCAATGACTCTTGGTGTGACAGTGCCATCTAAGGCCACCTGCATTAGAGGAAACAGACATCAAGGAAACACACATCAGCAGAGCAAAAACAAGGCAGAGAAAGGAGAATTTCAAGTGCCATATTTACCACTGAATGTGGGAAAAACCAAGACAATTTCATGGTTACAATGAGCCTTGTTTTTCCAGTTCGAGCCAGCCCTCCCTCACCCAGCTAGCAGACTGCAGAATGGAGCCTGGAGGTGTTACATATAAGAACAGTATTCCTTTCTGTAAATTCCATATTAGAAATAGAACTTCAAAAATTTGTAATAATAAAGGTCTGAGCTTTATTCAATCATAGTATAGTTAACCACTTTTTACCCACGCCTGCTGTAGCAAATAGAGATAAGTGCTTTAAATGATAATAGCTATGCGGTTCAAACTTCCCCGTGGGTGACCCAAGATCTGAGGAGGCTTCAAGGTCAAAAGGAGGGAAAATATTGAACACAAGAGAGAGATCGGAGATTCAAGAGGCTGGTATTTCCAGCAGTGCGGAGAATTAGATTCTGTTCTGCCATCTGGGAGTGGAGGGCTCTGCTAGCCAGACCCACAGGAATCCAGTGTTTCTTCATGTCAGTCATGGAAGTAGTGATGAGGGTTTGCAGACAGGGCAGAAAAGTACGCTCACTAATGTATAATCTTGGAAAAATCATTTTTCTCCTATAGCACTGACTTTCCATATCTGTGCAATGGAAACAGGGTATACTAGATCAGCATTTTCAAATCTGATATATATATATATATATATATATATTTTAAGACAGTCTCACTCTGTTCCCCAGGCTGGAGTACAGTGGTGTGATCACGGCTCACTGCAGCCTTGAACTCTTGGCCTCAAGCAATCCTCTCATCTCATCCACTACACCTAGCTAAATATGAGATTTCATAGGCAATCCCAATAATTTATTTCCCATCCCCTAGTTTTAGAAATAATGCATTAGAATCAAATATTGTCACTCTAAGAAGATCAGTAGGTGCCAGTTTAATTATAAATTTAATCTTGGTTGTAAATAAAGATTTTCTAATTTTAATTATTAGAAAATTCCATCAAAATAAAAGCCAAAAAATTTTAATATATATTCTCTTAACTTGAAGTCATGTTAAGTGAAATAAGCCAGACATAGAAAGATAAATACCACATGTCCTCAATCACATATGGGAGCTAAAAAGTGGGTATTGTGAAAATAGAGAGTAGATTCATGGTTACCAGAGGCTAGGAAGGAGACGGGGAAGGGGGCAAGGAAGAGAGGTAGACTCATAGGTACAAACATACAAGGAACACATTCTAGCATCTAATTGCACAGTAGGGTGACTGTACTTCACAGCCGTTTGTTGTGCATTTCAGAATGCCTAGAAGAAAAGATCTGAAGTGTTCCCAACACAAAGAAATTATCATTATTTGAAGTGATGACTAGCCTGATTTGATTAATTTCACATTGTGTGCATGTACCAAAATATTGCATTTATCCCATAAATATGTACAATTATTACATATGAATTTAAAATTTTAAAGAAAAAATGTGTATTATTCTAGAATTCCTAAGAACACCTCTGTGGAGCACAGTTTTTAAAAAAAACCCTAGGCCAAGCATGGTGGCTCCTCCTTGTAATCCCAGCACTTTGGGAGGCTGAGGTGGGCAGATCACTTGAGGTCAGGAGTTCAAGATCAGCCTGGCCAAAATAGTGAAACCCCATCTCTACTAAAAATACAAAAATTAGCTACGCATGGTGGTGGGCGTCTGTAGTCCCAGCTACTCAGGAGGCTGAGGCAGGAAAATTGCCTGAACCTGGGAGGCGGAGATTGCAATGAGCTGAGATCATGCCACTGTACTGCAGTCTGGGTGACAAAGTGAGACTCTGTCTCAAAAAAAAAAAAACCCTAAATTGGCTGGGTGTGGTGGCTCACGCCTGTAATCCCAACCCTTTGGGAGGCCAAGAGAAGAGGATCACTTGAGCCCAGGAGTTCAAGACCAGTCTAGCCAACACAGAGAGACATCATCTCTGCTAAAAATAATAAATAAATAAATGACACTAAATCATCCTGAAGACCCCTTGCATTTATTCATTCATTCTGAGTATGTATAATGTGCCACCTCTGTGTGTCTAGAAGACTGCTTCCTTGAATTAAGAAAACTAAAGTGAGGGGTTTTGGTTGCTGGCACTGACTAACTTATGTAGAAAACAAAGTTACTGGAAAGCTGTCAGGTGGCTCACAGGCTCAATGAGAAGGCTGAAAAACAGCTTCAGAAAGATGCTATTCATGCCTAAGAAATAATCTGGTCTGAAGACCTAGGACACTGGACGTTGAATGTCACCATTACTAATGGGGTCAAGTCTCCCTGCTTCACAAGTTCCAGGTGTGAATCTGCAGTTGACTGGGCTTGGTGCATGTGCCTGAGCTCTAGCTGCATGGGGATGGAGGTGTGAGGTGAGTATCTGGCTTTTATGGCATCAGTAATGGGGGTTGGGGAGTTGAGTTCTGCCTCCTGTTCAAGACTGACGCAAGGGTCTGATTCTTCAAACATGAAAAGAAGTTCATGTTAGGGACACACACATCTCCCTCTCCCTACCAGAAAAATTCACATATTTCTGTTTTCCATTCTCAGAAGCTACTCATCCCAGACCCATTTCTCCCTATTTCTTTTCTGTTTTACAAATGAAGCTCAGAGATACTAAATTAACTTGCCTAAAGATACATCTACTAAGTAAGAAAGCTGAGAAGAAAAAATCCTGGGTTTTCTTTTTTCTTTTTTTTAACTTTCTATTATGGAAGTTTTCAAAAGTAAAAAAGCAGAAAGACAAATATAACAACCCCCATAGTCGCCATCAGGCAGCCTTAGTTGTGATCAACTTGTGGCCAATCTTATTTCATCTATAATCCAACCTGCATTCACACATCCCCACTGGATTGCTGTGAAGCAAATCCTAAACCTCATGTTATTTCAACCCAAATATTTATACAAGATCCTCTAAAGAATACAAACTGTAACAACAATACCACGTCACGCTAAAAAATTAATAATAGTTCTCTAATATCATTAAATATCCAATCGATGTTCAGATTTCCCCAATTGTCTTGTAAATTTTATTTACAGTTGGTTTGTTTGAATCAAAATTCAAATAAGGCACATATTTTGCAACTGGTAAGTACTGTCATGTTGTTATTAAAATTTATTTGTTGAAAAAAATAAGTCATTTGTCTTGTGGAGTTTCTCACACTCCCCATTTTGGGGCTTATGTCATAGTGGTGTCACTTAGTGTGTTTCTGTGTATCACCAGGTCATTCTAACTCAAAAAGGCCAGACTACAATTCTATGCTACCCTGCTCAAGGGGTTGTTGTGATTATCAAATGTTCTACATGTGGTGGGTGCTGCTTTATTTATTTATTTGTTTGTTTGTTTAATTGTTTATTTTTCTTTAAGTTCTGGGATATATGTGCTGAAAGTGCAGGTTTGTTACATAGGTATACATGTGCCATGGTGGTTTGCTGAACCTATCAACCTATCATCTAGGTTTTAAGCTCTGCATGCATTAGGTGTTTGTCCTAATGCTATCCCTCCCCTTGCCCCCCACCCCCTGACAGTCACCAGTGTGTGATGTTCCCCTCCCTGTGTCCATGTGTTCTCATTGTTCAGCTCCCATTTATGAGTGAGAACATGGGGTGTTTGGTTTTCTGTCCTGTATTAGTTTGCTGAGGATGATGGTTTCCAATTTCATCCATGTCCCTACAAAGGACATAAACTCATTCTCTTTTACGGCTGCATGGTATTCCATGGTCTATATGTGCCACATTTTCTTTATCCAGTCTATCACTGATGGGCGTTTGGGTTGGTTCCAAGTCTTTGCTATTGTAAATAGTGCTGCAATAAACATACATGCGCATGTATCTTTATAGTAGAATGATTTATAATTCTCTGGGCATATACCCAGTAATGCGATTGCTGGGTCAAATGGTATTTCTGGTTCTAGATCTTTGAGAAATCACCACAGTGTCTTCCACAACGGTTGAACTAATTTACACTCCCAACAACAGTGTAAAAGTGTTCCCATTTCTCTGCATCCTCACCAGCAGGATGTTTCCAGTCTGTTGTTTCCAGACTTTTTAATGATCGCCATTCTAATTGGTGAGAGATGGTATCTCATTGTGGTTTTGATTTGCATTTATCTAATGACCAGTGATGATGAGCTTTTTTTCATACGTTTGTTGGCTGCATAAATGTTTTCTTTTGAGAAATGTCTGTTCATATCCTTCACCTACTTTTTGATGGGACTGTTTTTTTTTCTTGTAAATTTTTTTAAGTTCCTTGTATATTCTGGATATTAGACCTTGGTCAGATGGATAGATTGCAAAAATGTTCTTCCATTCTGTAGGCTGCCTGTTCACTCTGATGGTATGATGGGTGCTTTTTATTTGTAAAGTCTAAAGCAAATTTTATTTTTTTGAACTTCCCGTGGTCCTGCCACTCCCTCAGATGTTCACTTTGTAGGTCTCCCACAATTATGTTCCCCTCTTCTTTGAATTCTCTTGCCCTTTCAGGAACATTCAGAAGATAAACGATATTCCCAGAAATGTCAGGATCCCCTCTTGTCCCACCTGCAGACCCTCTCTCCTGACCGGGCACATCTGGAGCTGAAGCGCTATTACAGCATCTGCCAAGACACTGCCTTGGGTGGACCAGGCTTCCAAGAAAGAGGAGGAGAGTTGAAAAGAGAGGAGAGGACTCAAAACTCCCTGAGTCCCACCATAGCGCCCAAGCTCAGCTTAGAGGTTCGAAAACTCAGCAATGGCAGATTATCAACATCTTTGAAGCTGGGACCCCTGCAACCTCGGGGAGTGCCACTTCGGGAGAAGAAGGCAACCCAAATGGTGGCCATTGTGCTTGGTAAGTTTGAGTTGACTTGCATTGGGTTGGGCTGGGTTAGGTTGTGTTAAGTGGGCTGGCAGAAGGTGCTAAGGTAGCCACATTTGACAGAAATTGGAAATTCAATGACAGTAATATTTATCAAATGTTCACAGTATAATTGAAAAGTATTTGTGTATAAATACTAACTCTGGTGGAAATTCAAAAGACCTAGGCTGAAATTTATGAAGCTGAACAAGCCATTTAACTAAGCTGTATCTTTTTTTTTGTATTTTGTATTTTGCTGTCCACTATATGGAGCTATAACACATAAATCAAACAACAAATAAGATATTAATTTAATAAAACTATCTGGTACATATTAGATATTTAATAATTTCTGAATTATTTTTAAATATTACATGATAAAAATAGGAATGCAAAACACTATTGTGATATGGCATGATCAAATCTAGATTATTGTAAATACAGAGTAAAAAAGACTGGAAAGAAATCCCCAAGATACCAAAAGTGATTAGCTTTAAGTGGTGGGTGCTTATTCCTTTTGTTTCCCTACTTCTCTCTATCTACCAAGCTTTCCATAATGCACACAATCAAAGATTTTTGGTTTTCGTTTTTTTTTTTTTTTTGAGACATAGTCTGACTTTGTTGCCTAGGCTGGAGTGCAGTAGCACAATCATAGCTCACTGCAGCCTTGAACTCCTGGGCTCAAGCAATCCTCCTGCCCGAGCCTCCCAAGTAGCTAGAACTACAGCTGTGTGCCCCCATGGCCAGCTAATTTTTTAATTTTTATTTGTTTTTTGTAGTGACAGGGTCTCATTACATTGCCCAAGCTGGTCTCAAACTCATGGCATCAAGCAATCCTCCCATCTCAGCCTCCCAAAGCACTGGCATTATAAGCATGAGCCACCACACTATGCCAGAATCCAGGCTAATTTTTATAGTAATAAAATATAAACTTTGTTTATTTATTAATTTTTTGAGACAGAGTCTCACTCTGTCACTCAGGCTGAAGGGCAATGGCATGATCTCGGCTCACTGCAACCTCTGCCTCCCAGGTTCAAGCAATTCTCCTGCTTTAGCCTCTCCAGTAGCTGGGATTACAGGCATGCACCACCATGCCCAGCTAATTTTTGTATTTTTAGTAGAGACAGGGTTTCACCATGCTGGTCAGACTGATCTTGAACTCCTGACCTCAGGTGACCCACCCACCTTGGCCTCCCAAAGTGCTGTAATTACAGGTATGAGCCACTGTGACTGGCCTGAACTTTATTTAAATAAAGAAATTAAAAATCAATAAATCATAGGTATGCTATAGAGTTAGCGAAGGCAGTTCATCCTGTTCAGTGTCACTGACAATCCCAACTCTCTCCTATATCAGAGACTTTGCTAGAATTCCTAGCTGTAATCTCCTCAATAGCAGGAACTGTGTCAGTGCCATCTTTAAGGTCTTCATCCCTATCAGTGCCTAGGATCATGTCTTGCATGGGTAGACATTAAATAAATGTCTGAATTGAATTGAAAAAGAAAACAAAGATTAGTAAAGAACTACCTAGCGACCACACTAGAAAATCGATTTAGTAACAAAGGCCAACGTGAATCAAAGGCATTAGCATGCAGTTTTCTCACCTAAAAAAAGTCTGGCTAATCACACCTACTTCATAGGGTTGTTATAAAAAAAAAGTAAGCGTGTATGTAAAACTTCCAGCTTAGTGGCTGGCATTAAGTAGACAACTGTGAGTCATTCTCATGTTATAACAAAAGGAGTAAGCAAATCCCTTACCCAGTTTCTCTCTTCTTTGGCAACTTAGGGGCCTTTATTGTCTGCTGGCTGCCCTTCTTCTTGACCCATATTCTCAATACCCACTGCCAGACATGCCACGTGTCCCCAGAGCTTTACAGTGCCACAACATGGCTGGGCTATGTGAATAGCGCCCTCAACCCCGTGATCTATACCACCTTCAATATCGAGTTCCGGAAAGCCTTCCTCAAGATCCTGTCTTGCTGAGGAAGCAGAGGAGGGAACACTCCTTGTACCCATGTCTACCGGCCAGGCTGTTGGCCCACTCAGAAAGACTGTGCAGTGACCTCCGGCCTGTGGTAGGAAGAAGATTCCTCGAACCAGGATGTCCCTGCTTGTCAGGTATAACCAAATATGTCCTCCAAAACAGAACGTTTTACCTGCACAGCTAAAATCTGACTTCATTCTGACATTCTTCAAATGACTGGGGAGCCCCCAAGTGATAAGCAATAATTCAGAAAGAAGCTGATAAATCATGGCTCACACAAAATTGTCGTCGGAGGCATGATTCATTACACTAAAGGAAAAATGAACAGATCTCATCATTCTCAACTTGCAGGGGTCCTTGAAACCAGCCAGTAAACCACATAGAACAGCCAGTTTGTCTTCCTTCAAACCTCTAATTAACTGTCGGGCTAACCTTGTACTTTCACGGGCCCATTCCTCTTGGTCATTTCTTTCCTTCACTGTACCTGGAAATAGGAATGGCAAGGCCAGTGCTTCTACCTCTGCAGAATCCGATGGGCTACGTTCAGTGAGGTGAATTTCTCACCCCAAGAAAAACACTGTCCCACATTGGGACGGGGACTTCATTTCAAACTTTGCTACCCTTATATTTTAGCTTTAGCTGAGAAGACATTTTGATTCCATTCCTTTACTCTCTCAAGGCAATCTCAGAGGGTCAATTTCCAGAGTCATTGAAGACGGGGATATTATTTGAAGACGGTACGACACATTTCATTGTAGTTTCACTGTTGAACCTTATGGTTCAGAACATTCCTTAGATATGCGTTTCATATCACCACCAAATTTTCCTACCCAGAGCATCTTCATTTCTCCTTAACAGGGACCCAACGTAGTGGACATCTTGGGCAACAGTAGACCACACATACAACGGTAGTCTCATAAGATAATAACAGAGCTGAAGGATTCCTGTCGCTTAATGACGTCACAGCTGTTGCAACATCACAGCTCAATGCATTACTTCCATGTTTGTGGTGATGCTGGTATCAACAAAATTATGCTGCCAGTCATATCAAAGTGTACAATCGTGTACAGTACATAAACTTAATATTAATAATAAATGACTACATTACTGGGTTATGTATTTACTGTACTGAACTTTTCACCATTATTTTAGAGTGTACTTCTACTTCTTTTTAAAAAGTTAATTATAAAACAGCCTCAGGCAGGTCCTTCAGGAGGTATTCCAGAAGAAGGCACTGTCATAAGAGATGACAGTTCCCCGTGTGTTATTGCCCCTGAAGTGGGACAAGGTGTGGAGGTGGGAGACAGGGACATTGATGATGCTGACCCTGTTTAGGACTAAGCTAATGTGTGTGTTTATGTCTTAATTTTTAACAAAGTAGTTTGAAAAGCAAAAATAATTTTAAAAATAGAAAACATATATAGAGTAAGTATATAAGGAAAGAAAATATTCTTGTCCAGCTATCCAGTGTGTTTGTGTTTTAAGCTAAGTGTTATTACAAAATCGTCAAAAACGTCAAAAAAAAACTTTTTAAGTTTATAAGGTAAAAAGGGGGCAGAAAGCCAAGATTAATTTATTATTGAAGAAAGAAAAAATTTTTAAATAGATTTAGTGTAGCCCGAGTGTATAGCGTTGATAAAGTAATATCCCAGGCCTTCCCCTCCACGCACCAGTCCACTCACTGACTCACCGAGTCTTACAGCTCAGCTCAGCTGCCAGTCTGCAAGCTCCATTTATGATAAGAGTCCTATATAAGTGTACCACTTTTTGTCTTTTATATCCTATTTTTACTGTATCTTTTATACATAAGTTATACAAATACTCCCCATTGTGTTACAATTGCCTCAGTGCACTCAGGCTATATGGTATAGCCTATTGCTCCTAGGCTACAAACCCAGACAGCATGTAACTGTACTGAATATTGTAGGCAATTGTAACACAGTTACTTGGGCTATATGATCTAGGTTTGTGTAAGTACATTCTATGATGTTTATACAACAATGAGATCACCTAACAATTCATTTCTCAGAACATATCCCTGTAGTTAAACAACGTGAGACTGTGTTTTCAGACTCCGACACTCACTAAGCAGTATGTGCAGAGTGCACAAAGACTTTTCCAAAGATTCCAAGGCGTCTCTTGCCCCACTTGTATTCCTCTTACCTTTAAATATATAATAAGGAAATATATACACTCCCAGTGAGTTGGTTACCTGCTACTCCTAAATGCTTTTAATGTCAGCATTTTATTTTTTTCCAAGATGGAGTTTCACTCTTATTGCAAAGGCTGGAATGCAATGAGATAATCTTGGCTCACTACAACCTCCACCTCCTGGGTTCAAGCAATTCTCCTGCCTCAGCCTCCCAAGTAGCTGGGATTACAGGCTCCCACCACCACACCCAGACAATTTTTTTTTTTTATTTTTAGCGGAGACAGGGTTTCATCATGTTAGCCAGGCTGGTCTCGAACTCCTGACTTCATGTGATCTACCCACCTTGGCCTCCCAAAGTGCTGGGATTACAGGTTTGAGCCACCGTGCCCAGCCAATGCCACCATTATTTTTCTTTTCTTCTTGTTTTTTTGATATGGAGTTTTACTCTTGTTACCCAGGCTGGAATGCAATGGCGCGATCTCGGCTCACCACAACCTCCGCCTCCTGGGTTCAAGCAATTCTCCTGCTTCAGCCTCCCGAGTAGCTGGGACTACAGGCGTGCGCCACCATGCCCAGCTAATTTTTTGTATTTTTAGTAGAGACGGGGTTTCACCATGTTGACCAGGATGATCTCGATCTCTTGACCTCGTGATCCACCTGCTTCGGCCTCCCAAAGTGCTGGGATTACAGGCTTGAGCCACCACGCCCGGCTGCCACTATTTTTTAAATTCCTATAATAATATATATATATAATTACTCCTATAGTAATGTTTATATTGGTAACTTGGTGGGAAAATTCTGTCTGCTCATTAGTTTTTGTATCTTGTGTCACCCAGTTCATCCAGGTTTATGGTGCAAGCTAAGCTGAGCCTGGAGATAATAAAAATCTGCAAAAGTAAAAATAGATATTTCCAGGTTTTCCCAGGCCAAATGAACAGAAAATGGATGAGATGGTGGAGTAAAATATTATAGAATTCCATGTCAACACCGGAGTCCTAAAGGCAGAAACATAAACAACAGACTGGACATAGTGGTTTACACCTGTAATCCCAGCATTTTGGGAGGCCAAAGCAGGAGGATTGCTTGAGCCTAGGAGTCTGAGACCAGCCTGGGCAAGATGGCAAGATGCTATCTCTACAAAAAAAATAAACCAATTAGCTGGGCATGGTGGCATCCACCTGCGGTCCTAGCTACTTGGAAGGCTGAGGCAGGAGGCTTGAATCTAGTAGATCAAGGCTACAGTGACCCATGATTGCACGACTGCACTCTGGACTCAACAACAGAGTAAGATCTGTCTTCAAAAAAAAAAAAAAAAAAAAAAGAACAACATCAGTATTATCATATTTGTGAGGAAGAATAATAATAAACCTCCTGTACCTTTTTTTCACATCAAGTATTCAACCCTTATCATGGTCTTCAAGAAGATAAACTCCATTTTATAGATGAGGAAACTGAAGCAGAGGGAGGTTAAAAAATTTGCCCCAGGTCACATATAGTCAGTAAATGGCAGGGCATGGATTAAAATGTATCCCTGATTTCCAAGTCCAGGCAATTTGCCACTACAGCACATCGCCTCCCACCATAGAGATAATGGTGAGGGGAGGAAGAGGTGAGAAGAAAAATATGGAACAAAGATCCCTGGGGGATCCTCATCCTACCCCATCCACTTGCACCCCAAATGTTCCTAAGAACCCAACCCAAGACATTAATTTACTTTCCTGCCACTTCCAGTTTCTAAAATGGTAGCATAGGAAACTCATCTGTTTTTACAAAATCATGGAACAGTTTTTAGAGGGTATTTGGGTCTGCCCTGTCCTTCCTTTACAGAAAAGGGAACTGAGGCCCAGAAGTGTTGTCCCCTCGCTGGTTAATGATGGACTGGCACTCAAATGTGCTGAATCCTAGTTCTATACTACTTCTATTTTGCTGCACTCCTAAGGGCCCCAAAAAACTGTAAACTTCATGTAGATACAAAGTGAGTTATATTGTCACCTCCACCATTAAACTGAGAGCCACCTCTTTTCTAGATAGTGTCTATCAACCCTAATTCTGGATAGCATCATTTTCCCCAGCATTTTCTTCTTATCCAGGAAGAACTTCCTACAGGAATCCCAAACAAATCTCCCAAGCTAGCACTTCAGCCTCTTTATCCTGAGATTCCTTATTCTACCTCCTCCGCCTCTACAGTCCCCACCAAGAACCCACACACCTAGTCTCAGAACTCACTACCTTCAGAGCCAGCATGGCCAAAAGTCCCAGGAGAGAGGTTGCCCTGAATGAAGCAGAGCAGAATTCTTGGGGCAGATCTATTCTGGATCCCAAAGAAGTCTCACAGTTGCACACACTATTTGGGTAAAATGCAGATAGCATGAAAATCCAACATGCAACTCCAGAACTTACATAAATATTTTCTTCTTCCAGGACACAATCCTCTAATAATCTATCCATTACTGATTTACTAAATCAATCACTTATTCAATAAATATTGACTAATCACCTTCTACGTGTCAGCTGTTGTGCTTAGTACTGGGAAACATCATCAGAGAAGACATGGTTGGCCAGGCACAGTGACTCACACCTGTAATCCCAGCACTTTGGGAGGCTGAGGCAGGCAGATCACCTGAGGTCAGGAGTTCGAGACCAGCCTGGCCAACATGGTGAAACCCCATCTCTACTAAAAATACAAAAATTAGCCGGGCATGGTTGCAAATGCCTGTAATCCCAGCTACTCTAGAGGATAAAGCAAGAGAATCACTAGAACCCAGGAGGCGGAGGTTGCAGTAAACCGAGGTCACAACATTGCCTGGGCAACAAGCGAAACCCTGTCTCAAACCAAGGAAGACATGATTCCTGCCCCCAGAAGCTTCCAGCCCATAGTAGAATCTAGGTATACACTGATTAACTACTTGTTGTCTATGAAAGAGAGAATTCATGGTGTTTGGAAACCCATGAATTCTTGAAATTCATGAATTTTGGAAGTCCCATATTCAGCTTTGAGAATGCTTCTTGGACAAGTATTGTTAGGGTTGAGACATAATAAAAAAGTAGGAAAGGCATTCTAGGCAGAGCAGACCTCTGATGAGCTAAAGATAAGTAGAAGCAAAGACCATGCAAAGAATTTCAAATAATTCCAACTGGCTATAGAAAGAGACCCTCGGGAAAGGATAGGAAAGGAAAGGGTGTGATCTTGGCAGATCTCTTCCAGGTCTGCTCAAGCGCCAGCTGAGCCTGGGGGACCCTACTCACAAATGACCTTTAGGTCTTGCCTCCTCTACCCTCCATGTGGACAGTACACACCACAAAGCATCCATCACTCACTTATTGAACTACCTCTCTCTGAGCTACATTCCACAAATGCAGAATTTAATTTGAATTCCTCCCTTTTTCTCTAAAAGAAGAGGAATGACTAGTTGAATGGATGTGGAGTCAGAGATGGTTAAAATGAATGAAAGTCTCAGTTCAGAGACTTTCGGTCAGAAGCCAAGGGAGGTCAGGCAAAGAGATTTGTTTTCCTGAATGCTTGGATCAGAACTAAACAAAGAGGCAGGAAAGGCCAGGGATTCATGCAGAACTGGCTGTTTCCTGGAGGTCCTGGCTCCCAGGGCTGTGCTCTGATTACTGGTATCTGCTGACACTAGAAAACAGAAAAAGCTTATTTTGAATCAATACACAGAGAGCAGAGAGGGGATGACAGGCAATTAACTCAATTCTTCCTTTCTACCTAATTGTCTCCTCATTAGCTTGGGAAGGGAATGAGTTTCCATGACTACTTCGTGACACAGAGACTCAGTGCAGGTGATGCCAGTGTCAGCTTGGCTTTCTGTAGCACACATTAGCAGAGGCAGAACCAGAAAGTTCATGCCAAGCACAAGACCTGGGACCTCTTGCTCCACCCACCCTCACCTCAATTAATCATCCCATCTCCATTATTCTGCATTGACTCCCTGCTTTGTGTATAGCCTACAGGGCACTGAGAGGAGGGAGTGGTGGCTATAGGCCTCTGAGGATCCATGTGGTGTCCCAGAGAGGGAGCTGGGCTGGACCCAACATGGTTCTGACCTCCTTGTGGGAAAGAAAATGAACAGAAATGAGTCAAAGACTGGCATTCTAGTGCTAGCACAGACAAGTTACTTTGGGCAAGTGGTTTAACCTCTATGAGCCTCAGTTTCCTCATGAGTAAAATGGTGACCTAAAGGCCCTATCTTCCTTACTAGAATATTTGAAGATTAGATAAAAATCACATATTAAAATCTGTCTTAGTCTATTCCTGCTGCTGTAACAAAATACTACAGACGGGGAAATGTATACATCATGGCTGGGAAATCTAAGATCAAGGTGGGTGCAGGTTCAGTGTCTGGTGAGGGCCTGGTCTCTGCTTTTAGGATGGTACCTTGTTACTGAATCCTTCTGAGGGATAAATGCTGTGTCCTTGTGTGGTAAAAGGGCAGAGAGCGAAAGGCATAGGTAGATCCCTGCAGCCCTTTTATAAGACACTAATCCCATTAGGCAAAGCCCTCATGGCCTAATCACTTCCTGAAGGTCCCAACTCTTAATACTGTAGCATTGGAGATAAGTTTCAACGTGACTTTTGGAGGGGACAAAAACATTCAAACCATAGCAGAAGTGTTTTGTTAACTGCAAAGCCCTAACAAATGTGAGAGATTATTAACATCATTGGTACTCTTATTATTATTTTCCCCTAAGCAGCTAGCCCTATCATATCTACCTAGTTCACAGCCCACTCAGAGCCTATTTACTTGGCATAGTGTTTTCAACCTCTCACATAAAATCAGATTTTTTTCTTGTCTTTTATTCCCGATACATGCCCAGGATACTTGGCTGACTTTGTGGTCTGATTTTCAGAAAAATGGACAGTACCTAACAGAGCACCTTCCCCTGCTTACACAGTCCAGGGCACAAGTACGTTATTCTGTAATACCCAGGCTGATGGGGGCAAATGCTTGCTAAAGGCTACCTTGGGTGCTCTGTTCCTCTTCTGGCCAGAAAATGAGGAGCAGAACACATCTATTCTTCAAGACTTTCTGTCTTTGTCCCTTACGATATCTGAGCCTGACTCCCCTCCTCTTACTCCATCTCTTCCTGCCTAGGAGAAGTACTTTGGATATGGTGTATTTGTTTCTTAGGATTGCCCTAAAAAAGTGCCACAAACTGGGTGGCTTAAAACAACAGAAACTTATTCTCTCACCGTTGTGGAGGCTAATCATGAGGGCCTGTGCTAACCCAATATGACCTTATCTTAATTTGATTACATCTGCAAAGTCCCTATTTCAGCACGGGATCAAAGACCGGGCATTAGGACATCAGCAAATCTTTTTGGCAGATACAATTCAACCCCTAAAATATAGTGAGGGTGGTATGACAGGCAAGAGAACTTGGAATTTGGATGACTAGGGGAAATGTGCAAAGGCTATTTTATTCAGAACACAAAACGTCAGCTTCCAGCGTTGGCATGTAGTCCCTTTGATGGCCTGGGTCAAGTCTGTAAACTTACTAAAGCTCAACTTTCTTATCAGTAAACATGGGAAGTCTGGACTTCTAAGGCTATGATAAGACAGGCTAAAAATAATTCTAGAAGGACATGAATTATCTTCTGAGCCCTAAAAACCTGTAAATATGTTTACTAATAAAAGTTAAACCTACTCAAAGACAACCTGTTGCTTCTCTGTGTCTTAAAAAAGGAATTTAATAGCAAACTCGTTGAAGTTGGGGAAAGCTAAAAAGGAATATCGTGTATTTACCCTGTTTTATGCAGCACCAGTTCAGACCGACTAATGTAGATGGGCGGTATTTTTTCTCTTTAAGAAAAACTGATAGAATTGAGTCTGTATTATGCTTGGACAGATTCCATGAGACTCCATATAAAAGACTCTCAAGAAGCCTGTAATTTTTCACAACCTACAATCATGGGATTTGAGAGTTGGAAGAGACTTGGGCCTGGCCCTCTAGTAATTTCAGAAATTCTCTCTAGAACATCTGACCCATGTTCCTAAGACATATGACAGGTCGTCCTTTAGAAAATTCCTCTCTTCATTAGGCCAAAATCTGCTGCCTTATAAAATCCACCTTTTGGTTTCTACTATTCGCTCCTCTAGCACGGAAATCTCTATTCTTTCCTCCCGTGACAGTCTTTGTGGGATTAAAACAGTTCTCCAGAGCTTCCACTGCTTTCTCTCTACTTCACGTAATATTTTTTTATGCTATCCATCTTGGATGCTTTCCTTTGGAT